TCTTAAATAAAATATTAGAAAAGTAATTCAGTTGTTTAAACTCCGAAATAATATTTTACTACAATATTAAAAGATCTTCCAAATGAGGAAAAATTAAAATAATATTCAATTATTACTAATTTCTCAAAGTCATAAATTTTTTATAAAAGCTTAAGTAGCTCAGATCATTCAGCATTTTAATTGTATAACAATTTGATCAATTTATTTCCTTATGGTATATTAATAGTAAATTAATAATAATAAGTGAGTTAATTAAATAATAAATGTGAAAAAATATTAGAATGTAAAGGGACATAATAGGTATTAGAGAAAATAAAAATGTGTGTAAATAGTGCAAGGATGCAAGATTATGAAATAGAAAAATCAAATCTATAATAAAAAAAGTAACTTCATTATAGAACTTTATAACTAATAGTAAGAAAGCTAAATGAGAGAGATTTTCCAATAGATATATTAGATATAATTTTGCAACCATCAAAATATACACCAATTATAGATTAAATTGACTAATAACAAATTATCGAAACATTTCACTAACAAATTTTTATTTATGAGTGGTTAATGAACTCTGAAATGATACATAATTGTTTATAAAAGAAATTGAAATTAATAATCATTCCTACCTCAAATAATAATATATAATAAGATTACATTTCTGCTGCCTCTTAAGTTAAATCTTTAAGTAAAAGTAACTTTACATTTAATGATGATTAAGATAATTCTGTTTTACTCATTATCATAAAAAATGTAACAAATAAATACAAATGTTAATAAATTAGAGATGAGTAAATAATTCATCATAGTCTTATAAAATCCTTTTCTCATGAATTAAGAACTCCATTAAATAGTTGTTAGTAAATGTTAAATCTAATGAAGAGTTAAGATTTAACATCTAACTTATAAGAATGCATTGATATAGCTCAATGTTCTTTAGCTTTGTTAATTCATTAAATAAATGATATTTTAGATTATGCTGCAATTTAATCTTAATAATTTTCTTATCATATAAATAATTTTGTACTCAAAGAAATAATTGAAGAAATAGAACATTTATATAATTTATAGATGAAATAAAAAAAAATAGAATTCAATATAAAAGTTGCTCAAAATTTAATTAGTAAAATAGTTTCAAACGATAAACAAAGGATTATATAATTACTAGTAAATGTTTTAAATAATGCAATTAAATTCACTTAAGAAAGAGGTTCTATTACACTAAAAATTACAAATAGCGATATTTTTTTCTTAAACTTCAAAGTAAAAGATAATGGGATTGGGATAGATGATTCAAAATTATGTATAATCTAGAACTGCATACAAGATACAGTTAAATTTGGCTCTGTATTAAAATCATAATAAGAAAAATAATAATAAGGATTAGGTTTAAATATTGCAGCCAAATTAGTTTAAGGCTTAGTTGAATCATAAGATAATTAACTAATAATAAGTTCAAGAAAGAATTAAGGAACTGTAGTGCAATTTAAAGTGTAAAATTACATATAAAATACTTTATCCCAATCCCATTTCTTTACTTTATAAAGCTCAAAATCAAATTAATCAATAAGTTAGAGCTAGTATTAAGAAGCATAATTTGAGGATAGTAAAATCATTAAGTCATATACATCTAGAGTTGAACTTGATAGAGAATATTAAGATTAATAATCTAAATCTGAATCCTATAACAATACTTCAAGAATAAATGATTTTGATAAATAACCTGATATATTGGTACCAGCTAGTCAATACTTTTCTGAAAAACTTTTAGATTCAAATAAAAGTTTGTAAAAATTATAATATTCTATTTTTTCTAAAAGATAATATTCTATCTGCTAAAAATGTAAACATGTATTGATAGTTGATGATGTTCCATTTAATTAAATTGCCTTAAAAATGATTCTTTAGAAATATGAAATTGATGCTGAATAAGCATTTGATGGATTTTAAGCAATAGAAAAGGTAAAACAAAAAAAGTAACTACATTGTTCAAACTATAAATTAATTTTTATGGATATTGAGATGCCAGGAATAGATGGATTTTAAACAAGCAAATAAGTAAATCCTTTAATATTCCTAGATTCTTGAATTGATGCCTAAATAGCCGATGATAGTTATTTGTTCAGCATATGACTCTTAAGATAATTATCTAGAAAGTTAAAAATTAGGTATTAATACTTTTCTTCAAAAACCTGTTAAATAATAGGATTTAGAAGTATTATTAAAGAAAGCTTTCCAAAACGAAACAGATTGCATTTGATCATTTTGATTTGAAATAGAAATTTTGAAAATTTAAATTATAAAGTTGTATTAAATTAAAAATTATATATATATTCAATTAAGACTAAAGCGCTGAATAAAATAATTATTATTTTAAGCACAGTAGATTTTATTAGAACTGCAAATTAAAATGTTTTCGTTTGTTTTTTTCATAAAATACTCATAAAGTTTTCTTGAAAATTTCAACTATTACCCTAATATATCAATTAATACATTACATAAAATAATTTTAATAAATATGTAAACAATTGTATATAGTAAAGTATTAGAAAAGTTGTTCCTATTATCTAAATAATTGTTCATTTATAATAAAATAGGAAAATTCTTCAACTTACTTATGGCTTTTAGACTATTAAATTCCATTAAAAAAATGAAATAATTTCAATTGTATATAAAAAGGAAAATTTTCTATTTTAATAATTTACATTATTTGATAAAAATTAAAAAATATCAAATCAATCATATTCAAATGACAAGCTAAGTTTTTCCATCATATAATTAAGAAAATGAAAATATCAAAACAGATAATGGTTCATTAATAATTTCTAAGATATAAAATTTAAGGCAGCAACCATCTGATTCTGGTCCTCTTACTAATCCTCCTTCATTAATAAACTAAAGATTTACTACTTAATCTTAAACAGAAGTGGAGGAGGATCTCAATTCCTTTGTCCACTTGACGATAATACTAGTAGCGATTTAAAGTGGAAACTTTTCTATAGGTTATTCATTATCATATTTGTCAATGTCTTTCACAACTTTATTTTCATAAATGTATTAAAAATAATATTATTATAAGCACTCTTAAAGGGTCTGAGATTGAAGAATAAGGGTTATTTAGCGCTGTTTTATCAATAGGCTAATTAATAGGAGCTTTTGCTACAAAACCACTATTAAAATATACGACTAGAAATTAATCACTCTTAATTGCTGATATGTTTGGAGTTTTGAGCATTTTACAAGTTATACCTAACCGAGAAGTTATACTTGCATTTAGATTTTGCTATGGATTGTGTCTTGGAATATCGACTACTATAATGGCTGTGTATGTTAAAGAAATATGTCCTGAAAAATATTATGAAAAATTTTCAGTTTTAGCAAGTTTCTTAATTGCAGGGGGATTATTTTTTGTTAATTTTATGGGTTTAGGATATATAAATTCGGATTTAAGAGGAGAGAATTCATATTATTGGTAAATTATTTTTGCTATTCCTGCATTATTGCACTTTCTTCGATCATTTATTATTACTGTCATTTATTAGATTGATAGTCCTGATAGTTTAATTGAAATGAACAAGCCACAATCCGCAAAAAAGATCTTAATGAAGATATATAAACCATAATTTGTAGATCAAATATTCTTTAAATGCTAATAAAGAGTGTAAAATAATGATGAACAAATAGAAGGGATTATGAATCTGTTTACTAAAAAGCATTTAAAAACAGTATTGATTGGTTGTCTTTTAGCATTTATTTCAACTTGGTGCGGTTTATTTGCATTATACTCTTATTGTTCATAAATCTTTGAAATTATTTCAGATGGAGATTTCACTTTGAACACTCTCTTTATACTTATTTTAGGAATAGTTTAATTAATTCCTGCATTCATTTCAAAATTTGTTTATAGGAAAATAGGTAACAGATCTTTATTACTTTATGGGCTTTTTTTACTAATTATATGTTAGATACTTATTATTGGTTTAAGTTATTCTGAAACCTTAGAAGCATCTATTGTTAGTTTTATTATTATTTGTTTTTTCTCATTCTTATTTGCTCTAACTTTAGGACCTATTACTTTTGTAAGTATAAATATTAACATTAGTCTATGACTCCAGAGATTAACACAAGTGAAGGAACATACTTTTGTTTTGTAACTTTATATCTATGGTAGCTAATTATGCTATACATATTTCCATTTATGTTAGATGCAATTTAAATAAGTGGAGCTTTTATAGTTTTTGCAATTTTAACATTCCTATCTACGATTTTCTTTTATTTTTATGTTAAAGAAACTAAAGGATTAAATCATGATGAAATAGAAAGGTTATATGGAAAATTATGATGTGAACAATTATTATATTATATTGTATATTGTATATTGTTAAGCTTTAAAATATAACAGTTGATTCAGTTTACTAATTTTTGATTTGACTTAGAATTCAATATTTAATTTGAATATTTAATTAATAATTTTTTACTATTGATTATTATTTAGCAACCTTTATTTTGACATATTTAAAATAAATTTAATTCTAACATTTTTTTAAGTTCATAATAAAATAAATATTAATCTTGAATAAATTTTTCTATTCAAAAGAAGAAGAAATTTCAATATTTTTTGATCTGTGATTTAAGATTTATAAATATCCTTCATTTTTGCAAAAATAAATCAACTGTTATCAATAAATAATTAAACAAAAAATATTCACTCTTAACTCAATTCTTTTTAAATATTTAATTTTATTGTAAATTTTAACTTTTCTTAATAACTAAATAATTTTTTGGCTGAAAAACCTGGAAAAGAAATATTTTAAGAAAGAATAGAGGAAATCTTAAAATCAGAGAAAAAACTACTAAATCTTGAAAAAGATTGAAATATAATATAAAGCATCATATTATATTAATTGCATAGTCAAAAAGAGTATGGAATTAAATAATTTAAATTTATATCGTTCTATTGTAAGTTTACTTGATTTTTACAATCATATTCATATATTTATTAATTTTCAATTTTTTTCTTAATTAGATTCAATAGATAATAATGATTATTATTTTCCTTTCAACATATTTGTAAATATTATACTTTTTTTTGATCTAAAATAATAATAAATAATAATACGAAGGACTTTGAGTATTGTTTATTTATAGTATTTATTTCAACTTTTATATATTAATTTTTGCACTCTCTTCTTTTTAACTCATCAAACTTAATTTCTTTCTTAGATATTTGGTTATAGGATAATTAGGGAACACAGTTTACAATAGTTTGAAAATGATTGATAATAATTTCAACCTGTATTTTTAATAATAAACTTTGAGAATATCAATAATAAATGGATAACCCAAGATAATACTGTTTATAAAGATAAATAATTGTATAATAAATGAAATATTCTATTTATCTTATTATTCCATGATTTGTTTTACAGTTGCTAAAAATATTGCAATCAAACAAAACTGTGCACTTTAGATGTCTAATAAATTAAATTTCAAAAGAATGTATGGTTTATACTTTTGAGCAATAATTTAGTAAATCAACAGACAAAGTGCTAATAATGATGCTTTCAAAAAAATATCAGTTTCAAAATATATAAGAATAACTATAATTATGGTTTTCTTCCATAATTTTATAATTTCCCAAAAATAATTCTTTTGAGTATATTCATTAAATAAATATCCTATATGTCTTCTAAACTTTATTTTATTATGTTAATCTTTATATATGTACAAAACAAAAAATAATGATAATGGTAAAATTAATCCAATAAATAGGGATCCAGGAATTACAAATCCATAAATCCATGAGATATGATTTTAAGATCCATAAATTAAAGATACATCACCTGATATATAATATTAATCTGATATTTTTCGAATTGCCAAAATTGAAAAAAATCTAATCAATATAAATAATTTTACTAATTAATTAAGGATGCATAATTTTAGATATACAAATAAAAAACAGTAATTGATATAATTCTATTCTAAAATTTATAGCATTTTAACATTTATAGTAGTTAAAATCCAAAAAAGATAATTAATATCTAACATTGCATAAGTGCAAACATTATTAAAATTCTAGAATAAATTAATTAGATCCCTTAAATTTCAGCTAAAAAACATTCAAAATAATTAGCCATAAAAAATGAAGTATCACTTGATGGTTTTACAAAATCTAAAGAGATTGATAAATTAATATTAAATGTAAAAATGATAGAAAAAACCCAAAAATAATTAAGAAATAATTTAAGTAAAATACTTTCGTGATCTAATATTAATAATTTATAATACCTTGATTTAGTTTGAATAAAATTTCAGAAAATTTTTAATTTTATCTAAGCTTTAACTATACATATAATTAATTAGTTTTTTCAATACTTCTGATGGTTAATAAAGTAGAAAGAATTGCCCTAACAAAATATTAATCACATTTACCATATTGATACTAGAAAAAAAGCTATCATTCTTTTTGAAAGCTATTCACACTATTAACAATCCAATTATTACTAGTTTTTAAAGAATTATCCATCTCCTCTTACATTAAATCTATCACATTCTTCACACAATCCTCCTATATGTCCTTTATAACATAAATCATCACCAACATTCCATCCCCCCAAACAATGACTTGGATTTTTATAGCATAATTCTACATTATCAGTAATCTAACTAGGCCTCCAAAATCCAGATTTTAATTAAATTTTATTAGATGTAATGGCTTCAAATTTATTTTTATCAAAAATAGAACATTTTGTACTATTATATGTAACAGAATAAAATCCTTATTCTGATTAACATTTTTGACATCCAGAAAAAATATAAAATTCACCTAATTGACATAAAAAGCTTTTTATTCTCATTCTATAGGCTAAATTCTAATCTTGATTTTCTGTTTTACAGTATATTAAAATTTCATTAATATAATCTTCTTGCTTATATGGATCTATATTAAATGTTAAAGAACCTAAGTCAAAACTATTAATTGATTTATTAAAACTTATTGTTGATACTCTAATAGATTCAATTACATTTTAAGTTACAATATCAATAGTTTATTAATTTATAGTACAAGTAGAGTCTAAAAAGTTTATTTATTGTTCATTCAAACTATTCTTAAACTTTATTGTGAATTCAGTAATATATGATGAAAATTTCAAAAGCTTAGGATTATAAAGTTCAAAATTCTATATTTTCTAACCACTTGGGATAAATAAAATATTAGTAGATATAACCTAAGCTTAAGATATAATTTTATATGGTTTTAATTGTAAAACTTAAAATAAGCTATTTTCAATTATTCTATATTGAAATTACATTTCCATTTAATTTATTGATAGAGACAAATGTTTAGGTAATTCATTAATATTATTTGAAGCTAATTTTGCATTATTAAATAAGAGAAGAGATTGAATTAAATTATTTTTATTTGAACTGCTATTTTCACTTAAATATATTCCACCTGCTTATTATGCTGAATTATTAATAATTAATGTAGATTGAATAGTAAATCTTTATGAATCTTCTTGAAAATATAATCCACCTCCTTTATAAGATGCAGTATTATTGATGATTTTAGAATTTGATAATTTAATTATTACATTTTAAATTTAAATTCCTGTTCCTATTCTTCCATTATTAGATATAAAATTTGAATGATCTATCAATAATTTACTATTAATTCTTTATTCTGATATTGCCAATATACAACCATTATCTTTAATATAATTCTTTATGCATGATAATTCTGATATTCTAATTTAATCAAAATCAATCAATTCTAAGAAAAGTAAGCCATTCCAACAATATTGACAATTGTTATTTAAAAATAGAACATTGTAAAAAAATGCTCTAGTTTGATTTGTAATACTTTTCATTTTGATTAAAGATCCTTTTTAATCTGAATAATCAAGAATTTTATCAATAAAATCTTAGACAATCTCATCTTTATTAATATAATTAGCTACATAATTACTTTTCAGGATACACTAAGAAAATTCCAATTGAATGTGATTATAATCAAAATAATTTAAATTTTATTTCTTTAGTGTTTAATCATTGTAATTTTGTATTTTGATATCTTTAAAATATATAAATGATTAATAAATATTGTTTTATTAAATCTCTATCAAATTTAATGGATAATATGTTAAGATATCAATAAATTTAGAATTAATTAATGTGATTAATTTAGAATCTTAAACTTTTATAATTGAAGATAAAATTATTCCTTCTATTTATATTCCATATAAAAACAATTCACATCCTATAAATTTCATTATTGCATTATCACTTATAACTTTTTGCATTTCAATTAAAGATATTTTCCCAAGACCTTAAAGAAAAATAAGTAAGGCTTATTCATTTTAAAGTATTCTAAGATTTTCAATTTTCACCCTATTTTAGTCAGCATTTTAAAAATCAGCTTCGAAATTTATTACTTAATGAACTAATGAAAAGCAATCTTATGCAATAATATTTTTTAATTAAATATTGTTTTATGTAGAAGATGGATATACTGAAAATAAGGATGAAGATAATTTATTTTAAACATTTATAAAAGTAATATTTTCTAAATTAAGTGATAATAAGCTATCTTCTCCATTAATTCTTAAGGCACCATCATTTTTTATTTTGGATATTAATGAATTATATGCGTTAGTAATACTACAATTTTTTATAATAACTATTCCATCTCCTTATAAATTAATATTAAAAGCTAAGCTACTTTATGCTATAATATATTAAAATATTCCATTAAAAATTGTAAGTTTAGTAATTGTACTGGATAAAGCACCTCCATTAGTTTCTATTTTGAATGATTTTTAAATAGCATAAGAAATTTCATTTTAATTATATTCCTCCTCTAATTGAATTTCATAATATTTTAACCAAAATTCCTTAACAAGGTAATTGTGATTGTAAACTTAAAAATTTTCTATTAATATTTCAAATAAAAATAAATATATGTATGATTAAGTAGAATTTGTCAAAGCATTATTAGAGCAAATTATATTTTATACCCTCATGAAACTTAAAACAGAATTAACATATAAAAGACTGGCTGAAGTTTTAGATGGATCTTTATTATATTAATGAAAAATATTCTCTTCAAATTTAATATTAACAATTTCTATAATTTAAGGTTTTTCAGAATATAATTCTATTAAGGAAAATATTATTCCTAAATTATTCTTAATTAAAATATTTCCCTTCATTTTCACATCTTTAATAAATATATATTCGTTTGAGTTTAACATCAACAATGGATTTGATGAAATGGAAATAATTGATTAATCTATTGTAAATTAATTTTTAATTGTAATTTAATTTAAATTGATGTTATTAAATCCAGAAACAAATATTAATTATGATATAGAATCGCAATTTTTGTAACAATCAGACGATATTTTGATTTTTTATTCTTATAACAAATTTTCATAAATGACATTTTCAATTTTTATAAAAGGAACAGCTAATAATGATATGAAACGATAATTTTAAGTATCTCTTAAAAAGATATTTTAAATAATTAAACTATAACAGTTAATTGATATAAGAAAATACTGTTAATAACATGAAATAATATTATCTTCAAAATAAAGGTTTGTTAATAAAATGCTTACTTAAGTTGTTGACTACTTTTACTCTGTAACGAATAAAGAAAAATTTTATACAATATTTTCTAAAATCTTAATATTATTCATCTATATTGTAGATTCTAAAAGTATTGATGAAATCTATAACATAAATTAAAATGATATAAGTTCATTTTACTTCATAATAATATTCTAACAATCAAAATCATAATTAAAAATGATGAATTTTGAATTAACCATCAAATTTTCATACATTGAAATATTATTAATAGTTAAACTACTTTTTTCTATGCTATATATTAGATTTGAATTTTCAAATGATGAGTTATTTATAATTATTTTATTAATATTAATTTTAGATTATTAATTGAAATGCATAATTGATGAATTATAAAATTAACAAGAATCAATAGTAAAATTACTAATAAATATGTTTCTTCTTGTATTTTAAAATAAAAATAAAGTAGTATTTGTGAAAAAACAATTCTAAATCCTAAAATTATTAATAATTATGGTTTCTCCTAAATCCTCACATTAAAAGTTAAAAATAACTTAATTTTCAATGGAAATATCGAAAATATATATATATTATAAATTTACATTAAGGAAACTCTCTCCTTGAATAGACATGATGATTGGAGAATTTATTTTAGAGTAAAATTATGAATCATATATCTTTAAATCAACTGATTAACCTAATGATCCAAATATCAAAATCATTTCAGCTTATATAAGAAAATTAAGCTCATTTAGTATGATTGAATCAAATTTTTAAATTAACAATTGAAATTAATTTGTCTTTAAATAAATAGGATTTGGTTTACCCTAAATTCTTAAACTTCTTTTTTAAATAGAAAATATATTTTCTTTATAAGAATTATCAATAATATATTCACCATTGAAAATAACACAATGTGACAATAAATGTATTATAAGAGTAAATTATTTTAGTCCAATTTCATTGAAATATTGATAATTATACAATTGATCATAATAAACATGGATTGAATTCAATTAATTACAATCAATTTCAGGCTAATTTAAATATTATATAATACAATATTTAATTCAAAATTGTAGTTACAATTATTTTCATAACAAAATTATGCAATTTATAAGTTTGGATCAATATGAACAAATTAAGAAGGGATTTTCTGGTTACATTTAAAAGTATACATAGAATTTTCAGAAGTTATCTAAAAATATGGATTTATTAACTATTTTAATTAGGATAATATACATTTATATCCTCCTTTGATCTCTCTTAACAAACTTAACATAAAGAAGGACATTGAATACATTTACCATCAATTTGAGCTCTAATTGGTTCTTTGAAGTAATTTAATTTACACTTAGAACAAAAAAACTCTCTTTAGTTAGTATGAGATTCACAAATAGAACACATTTCATCACAATACTTTTAACATAAATTCATTATAGTATCATATCCTTATATACATTAAGTTACTAATAATTTTGGTCTATATACAAATTTTGTAAAAATAGGTCTATTAGGTAAGTATTGAATTATAAATCCTTAAACTATCCATTTCCAAGGTTCTAAATTATTGTCTTCAAAACATTATACTGAATAAGGATATAAACATTTTATACAAATCCCTGTATTGGCTGATATTAAATAACCATCCTCACAAATTAAGCATTTTATAGTTTATTATATAGTTTATATACAATGTTTGCAATTTAAAATATGGATTTGACAATTTATAATTTCTAAAGCAATACTGAAATCATTAATATCAGATAATGTACAAATTTCATTTTCATCTAAATTAATATAAGATCTCAAACAATTTGATTAAGATTGACTCCTATAAATACATTCGCCAGAGCTAAATTAAAAAATGAATCCTTCTTTACATTAAGCACAACCTACTTTAATCTCTTCATCAATTAGAGAATAGCTTTCATAAAATCCCAGAGTAGTTTTTGTCGGATCACTTGCTAAATAATTGAAACAATATAAGCAATGGTGTATTTCACAAATAACACATTTTTAATAAAAATCTATAAAATTAGGAGATTTGCATGTATGTTTATTTTATCCTAAGGAGCCATAAATAGTAGGTATATTATTTGAACAAATAAATTGTGTTACTGAAATTTAACATTCAAAACACTCATTTCCACATTAATAACAATTATTTTGTATTGATTGACATAATTATTTAAATTAAAATATTGATTCTATTTAATCAACTTAATTATTAGATATATTTATTGAATTACAATCAGGACAGTATTATATATCATCTCCTACTAAAATATAATATAATTTATTATCTGCTAAAATATATTTTGATGTGCTTCCGTTAATATCTGTATATAATATTGTCTAACAAAAAAGAGTATTAAACCATGATCTAGGATTTTATACACATTCCAAACATGTTATAAAATTGTTATTAATTATTGATGGACTAATATATATATTATATAATAATACCATTTATAGCATTCATCATTTAATTAAAAAAACCATATTAACATTCTTTTTATAATTCTTATTCTTAAACTAAATTAAGATTCAAATTTTAATAATTAATACATTCATTATTTGAATCAATTGTTCCATATATACAAATACATTCCTTAAAATCTGGTAAATATCTTCTATTTGATGTTTCAAAACATGATAAACAATCTTCTTTAGTTGGACCATCACATTCCTTGCAAGTAGGATGGCAATTTATATTTGGTTGATTAATATCTGGACAATTGAAAAATTTAAAACCTATAATTTATATAATTAAATAATCTGATTTAGACTTTAAAATATTTCCATAAAGTAATTTAAATTATACCATATTAAAATGATTAACCTATAAATTTAAATTGAATTATTCTTGATCAAAACCTTAATAAAATGTTATTGAAATAGAAATAGAAGTCTATGTCTTTTCTATATATATATAATGCCATAATTAAATATCACAATTTATATCAAATTTTTCTGTCATTAAAAAAAGATTGTTTGAAAAATCAATATTAACAGTTGGGAAAGTATAACTATATGATTTAATGATAATTTAGTTCCCTAAAGTTGAAATCTTATATAATAATTAAAATGCACTCAAATTATCTTAAGTCAATTATGAATTTAAAAAATTTCCTGACAGTTTAAATAATTAATAATAAAATTCATCTTAATATGAATTAATTTCTTTAATTTTTATCCAACCTGATAATAAAAACTTATCACAATTAAGTTATTAGGATAAAAATTAAAATTGATCTTATTATTATATAATAGCATCCTCAATTTCTATTGTTGCACTATTTTAACAAAAACATTATTTTTCATTATTTTATTCAATAATTTTCAAGAAATAGTCAGGTTAATCAGTGAAAAAATGACGAAAATAATACATTTATCCTGGAAAGTATGAAAGTAATCTATTTTCATATGTATAAAGTGGTGAATTTTAACTTACTTTGAAATGTCCTCCGATTATTAAATTATAATTAGTTCCTTCTAAAGGAAATTGAATTTAGATTTATTTTGAAAAAATCTAAGACATTTACTCATATAAATAAATAGAGACTTATTATTATGATGGAATTGTTATGAATCCTTAAAAATACCATATAAATTCATATGATGCTTCATTTATTGATATTTCTTATTGAAATTACCTGCCATCACTACCTAAAAATTAAAAATATTTCTTGATTGTTTTCTATTCAAAATCGACACATTCATATTATAAAAAATGCAATTCATTATTAATCCTATCCTAAATTCTATACAAATGAAAACAACTACTATCAAGTATTCCAATTTCACCAATTTATACAACATTACTTAATGGTACAAATCTACTCCAAACTCCGAAACCAGCGCAATTGATATCAGTATCCATTTCATTTTCTATTGGTTCAATTATAAGTGGATAAATTGATGGTAAATTTTAAATACTCCAGGATACTGAATGCTAAACAACTATCATCGCTATTAAATAACATGAATATATTCTCATTTCTATAAAAATTGTAATTAAATTATGATGAGTAATTATTGAATTTAAATATGTATATAAATCACATTCCTAATTAAAATCATAACATTAATGTAAATGATTAATTATCAAATGATAGAAAATAATTAAAAAGAGTTTAATTTAAGAGCAGTATTGAATTTTATCCTTTATAAATTATTAATATAATTATCAATTTTTCTTGAGAAAATTTAATATAATTTTATCAGTTTAACTTAAAAATATAATAAACAAATAAAATATGAAAATTTTGTTTTTCTTAATGATCTTGAGTGATTTATGAGTTTAATTAATATACTATAAAATTATGTAATATAATTAAATTAAGTATTAGACATATTTAATAAAATTTATATTTTAATTTTAATAGTTCAATAAATATTTATCTGTTTATTTATACTATTTTAGACCTCATTATTTATTCGGCATTTATTATATAATTTATTCATTAACATGATAAACTTATATTAATACTAGACAAATTTACATGGAAAATGTTAGAAATATTCAAATTACATTATTAATTGTAAGTCCTTCGTTAATAATTTTTATTTTTTTTGTAAAAAGTGAATGAAATATTAATAAACCAATATTCATTTTTGGAGTCTTAATAGAGGGTCCCTTAAACAGAGCAACTTTAAAGAAATTAAACTTGATAGAATTATTTAATTGCAGACAAACATCTATTTATATTGAGAAATTATAAATATAAAGATTATCAATGCAGTTGTTTGAAGATCTTAGAGTTTTATATTAATATAATAGAAGAATATTTCCCTTCCTTCTTATATGAGATTAATACCTAATAATCATTAAAGATTTCAATCCCTTACCAATTCAATAATTATTAATAATAAACCAAATATATATTGATTATCTATAAATTAAATATATTTAATTATAATATGATAATTATTATATTTTTTTTAATTACTGTTTTTGAATAGTATTCATTTTTTGAGAATAGAGTATATAATTAGCCAAGCCATTTGATCAATAATTCAATTAAAAATAATATTAATATGTTATTGGAAGTTAAATAAAGGGATTATTTCCACAAGTTGAAGCTCAAAAAAATACTGATTGACTCACATGTCAATAGAAGTAATGGAATATATTAAAAATTTTAGAATTATTAACATAAACTAATCTTTTCATCATCTTTTTTTATATTTTTAGAAAGAAAAAATAAGGATATCCACCAAAAAATATTTGCTAACATTAAAAATGGGAATAATGAAAACTGATGTACTTGAATAGGCAATATCAAAATTCTTATAATTTAAATTATTGTTTACATATTTATATAAATTATTATTCTAAGCATATAAATAATATAAACAATAAAAGTCTCGATAAATGATTTTTTAAATATTTTTCATTTTAATTATTCATAAGACCCACTTTAAGATTAATTATTAAAAATCTCCAATATTGATGATTATTTAGATATCTTCTATTTTTATTATCCCTCTTTGAATTATATTCAATAATCTAAATAATAATCAATATTTTTTTCTAGAAATTATTCATAATTAAAATTTTTTTTTTTAAATGAGTAAACAAATTGTTTTAGAAAATTAAAATGAGTTTAATTGTTAAAACAATCATAACTAATAAATAAAATTAGTTGTTCTTGATCCAAATTTACAAAAAAATAAAAGATTGATTTGTAATCTATGCTTGGAAAATTTTTAATCAAATTACCCTACTATGGGATTTTAGAAAATGATATAAATTATAAATGATTTATAAAAACAAAAAATGGAGGAATTAGAAAATAAAACCACATTAAATATTAAATAATTAGAAAAATGTGTAAAATTGACTTAAGAATTACGGATGTAATTTAATAGACTTTTTGATTCGCTTATCAGAATAGCTGAAGATTGGAGTAAAGATTTAGAATTATAAATAAAAGAATGTTATTAATACAAATTTGAAGATGAATTAGATGATTATATTAAAAAACAAAATAATAGTTAAATTGCAAATATAAAACTTATTAAAAATATTAATAGATCTTGGATGAATAAATTATATAATAACTTAAATTAATATAATTAAAATGAAGATAAGATTAACTTTAGAGAATTAAAGAAATAATTCATGAAAATTATAAATTAAAAGGAATCACAAGAAGATGAAATCAAATTAAATTTAATTGATTAATCTGTTAAATAAAGTATAAAATGCAATGCAATATCTTTTGATTCTTCTGGATAATATATGATATCAACTGAATATCAAAATATAAAAGTATGGACTTTCAAAAATGGAAAAATTAAGTATTTATAGACTTTGTATGGACATAGTAAATGGATTTAGTGTTTATTATATAGTAAGAAATAAAATTCCTTTATTTCAGGTGCTGGAGACAAAACAATTAGATGTTGGAAAAATAAGAACATTAATGATTGGATTAGTTCAGAACCCTATAAATAACATACTGATTGGGTAATGTGTCTTGAAATGAATAAAAATGAGGATCTACTCTTTTCTGGAAGTAGTGATTATTCAATAAAAGTATGGAAGCTTGATTTTAATTAGAATGAATTAACATATCTTTATTCATTAAATAACCATAAATATTATGTTATTTCGATCAGTTTAAATTAATTAGAGAATTAATTAGTATCATGTGCATAATTGAAGAATTAGATTATTATTTGGGAAAGAAAAGAAAAAAATACTTATGAATTTAAATATGTTGTTAAATAATCAATTTATAATTATGGATTAAAGGTTAGTTTTATTACTGAAAATTCATTTATTTGGATAACAGGTGATTAAGGTAAAGATATGATATATTTTTTTGAATTAATTGAAGGTATATATTAAGAGATATAACATAAGTCAATTCAATTAACGAATAATAATGAGGATTATGATGAATATTTCTTTCCTATAATATATAATAAATAGAGGAACTTGATATTAGTAAGACATAAATCATAAATTTACTTAATTAGAAATATTGATAATGGAAACTTTAAAATAGTTCGTTAATTGAATTGTAATACATCAGATATTTATGGGACAATAACAGATGATGGACAATATTTGGTTTTTTGGGATAGTAAAAATAATGGATATTCAATTTATGAATTATGAAAAGAATGAAAATAGTCTAATTATTATTCATATTGAAATCTATATATTCTAAAGAGATAAGATTGAATTTGTTCAGTTTTAAATTATAGCCTCTTTTATTTATAATTTGAAATTAATTATATCCTATTTTATGTAAGTGATTTATAAAAGGGATTCAGTATTTTTCTAAGTAATAAAAGTGTAAAACATAATTACAATTATTTATATTTTTTATTTATACCTCTGTTCATCTTTAAATATATATCCCCTTTATAAATATAAAAAATTACCCTGATTTTTGTTATTTTTAATATTTTTCACAAATGTTGTTGCTATGAATTTCATATGAGTATCTTTCATCCGCAAATCTTTCTCTTCTATACATTAATTTATTCAATTTCTACCTGTATTTAATAAATTTTTCTTTAAATGGCTTAATTTTTTTCTTAGATCCACTCAAACTATATTTAATTATAATGAATTTATCAGATAATATATTCAATACTGATTGTTGTGATTGTCTTGTGATAATTATTATTATATAATTCTTTAGAGGTTAAATAATAAATAGATCATGATCAGATCTTCTTTGCCAGGTATATTTCTTTTCTATGAATATACTGATCTTGATTACTCCATTATTATTTATTCTTTAAATATTGTTACAGCACTTGCTTTATTAAATACTATATTTATATATTATAAATATTGTTTTTGAAAGCTTTTTTTTTCTTTTAGAATTTGGAAATAAAATTGATAGAAGTTTTGTTTTAATTACAAAAATTAAATTTTTATTGTTAAATAAATTGGAATTTTTATTATTATAATGATTATATTTTGTTAACTTGGATTTTATTAAAAGAACATTGAGTTAAAATTTTATTGAAATTCTAATTTTCATGGAGTGATTAAATTATAAATGTTTAAATACTTACATCTCATTTGGCGTTTAGAATAAATTTTTAAAGAAAACTGTGGGGTAAATTTAATCATTTTATCTACTTTCAAATTTAATAATATGTTAATTATATATATTTAATATTTGTAAATTGTTAATAAATCATTATTAAGATAATTTAATTCACTTTTATGATTAATATGAATATAAAATAATAATATCTCATTTTTATTCAAAATTATTTTATTAATAATTCTAATGGTTCTATATTATAATTTTATACATCTAAATCGATAGATTCTACAGGTTTAATTGATAATCTATTTGATTCTTTTTTGCTTAGAATTTGATTTTCATCTAATTTTCCACCCATTTAATGACTTTAGACTAATACCATATCTCCAAAATTTTGCTAAAGTATAAATTAAATTCTTGATATTTCATATAGTATATTATTAAGTTTGCATTTTTCTTTTGCTTTTTTCCTTAAAATGGAATAATTTTCTTATAAATTTTCGATTGATGAATTATTTATATTATTATTTTTATTGGAGAATTTAAATTGATTGAAAAAGTTAAGTTAAAATTCTTTGAATTCTGGATAATACATTTTTATAATTTCATTCAATAATTGATTTTCTAATAATTGAGAATTGTAATAAACTAATATATGTTTCAAAATAAATATTAATTAAACTATAGACCCTATTTAAGCTAAAACTTAACCTAATTTTGGATGAGTAATCTCTTCTTTGATAGATATATTGTCAATTCTGATCAGAAAGCATCCAAAACTATCAAAATTATATGTAAAGTTTGACATTGAGTTAATTACTTTTTATGTAAATTAATTATCAATCACTTAATTTATGAATTCATAATTATTAAGAAATGAAAAACGTTCATAACTATTAAAAATTATACCACTATCTATAATAGTTTCTTATTATTTCAAAAGAATTTAAGTATATTGAGGTTTAATAGTATCAAAACTAGTATAATATAATTTATTGAAATTTTCAAGTTATTTAGTTTTATAATTAAATTGACTTAATTTAATATTCAAAAAGAAAAAGCCATGATATTTTGATAAATAAGTATTAATTGTATTATCATCAGCACAATAACTTCCATTAAATGCAAAAATATTTGAACATTTTGCCAAAACTAAAAAATACTATTTCTGCTTTTTTAATTTTTCATCATTTTATTCAAAAAGAGTNAAATTCTAATTTTCATGGAGTGATTAAATTATAAATGTTTAAATACTTACATCTCATTTGGCGTTTAGAATAAATTTTTAAAGAAAACTGTGGGGTAAATTTAATCATTTTATCTACTTTCAAATTTAATAATATGTTAATTATATATATTTAATATTTGTAAATTGTTAATAAATCATTATTAAGATAATTTAATTCACTTTTATGATTAATATGAATATAAAATAATAATATCTCATTTTTATTCAAAATTATTTTATTAATAATTCTAATGGTTCTATATTATAATTTTATACATCTAAATCGATAGATTCTACAGGTTTAATTGATAATCTATTTGATTCTTTTTTGCTTAGAATTTGATTTTCATCTAATTTTCCACCCATTTAATGACTTTAGACTAATACCATATCTCCAAAATTTTGCTAAAGTATAAATTAAATTCTTGATATTTCATATAGTATATTATTAAGTTTGCATTTTTCTTTTGCTTTTTTCCTTAAAATGGAATAATTTTCTTATAAATTTTCGATTGATGAATTATTTATATTATTATTTTTATTGGAGAATTTAAATTGATTGAAAAAGTTAAGTTAAAATTCTTTGAATTCTGGATAATACATTTTTATAATTTCATTCAATAATTGATTTTCTAATAATTGAGAATTGTAATAAACTAATATATGTTTCAAAATAAATATTAATTAAACTATAGACCCTATTTAAGCTAAAACTTAACCTAATTTTGGATGAGTAATCTCTTCTTTGATAGATATATTGTCAATTCTGATCAGAAAGCATCCAAAACTATCAAAATTATATGTAAAGTTTGACATTGAGTTAATTACTTTTTATGTAAATTAATTATCAATCACTTAATTTATGAATTCATAATTATTAAGAAATGAAAAACGTTCATAACTATTAAAAATTATACCACTATCTATAATAGTTTCTTATTATTTCAAAAGAATTTAAGTATATTGAGGTTTAATAGTATCAAAACTAGTATAATATAATTTATTGAAATTTTCAAGTTATTTAGTTTTATAATTAAATTGACTTAATTTAATATTCAAAAAGAAAAAGCCATGATATTTTGATAAATAAGTATTAATTGTATTATCATCAGCACAATAACTTCCATTAAATGCAAAAATATTTGAACATTTTGCCAAAACTAAAAAATACTATTTCTGCTTTTTTAATTTTTCATCATTTTATTCAAAAAGAGTATTTAATACTAAAGAGCCTTTATTCAATTAAATTAAATATGGTAATTCTTTGCTACTAAATAAAGGTATAGGTTGATCATATATAAATACATCTTAATAAGTAAATAAAAGAGGAGTAATTATATTATTTTCCTTTTAAAAAGGATCAACATCTCCTGAAAAATCTTATAATTATATTTATATAGTTGAATCCTCTAATTAAAATTCAGAATAACCAATTAGTTATTACTTTGAATTGATATTAGGACTGATTGAATAATTCATCCATAAAATCATAACATATAAAAAATAAATTAGGCTGATGCTACCCATAGCAATGGTTGCTATTCCACCCAGTTTACTTTAAAATTAAGTATTGTTTTTATTAGTTAAAAGACAAATTGGAACACCAAAAACATCAATTTTTTCAATAGTATTCATGAAAATGTTCATAAATTCTGAAATAATTTATTAATGAAATATCCAAAAAAAAATTAAATATTTTTGCAATTAATGGATAAAAGAAATATCAAATAATCCAGTTTTTGAAAAGTGTATTTTATATTAATATTATGTTTTCTTTTTTTGGTCCATTTTCATTATCTGAATTAAATTAGTAGCATGAATGATTGAATGATGGCGGAAAAATATAAATAAGAAAAGTAATTTCATTGTTCAGGACTTTCATTTGTATTAATTATTAAAAAATTTTCACACATATTTAAAAGAAAAGGAATTCAGAACAATGAAGGTACAAATATACAGATTAAATAATGAAAATCATTATCAAATTAGTATTATGTCAAGTAAGAATAAATTGAGATTAAAAAGTAGATAATTATTATAAATTTAAATTCATTATAAAAAAGATAAACAATTGATTATAGATTTATTTTTTGAAAAACTTGATAGTGTTAGTACACATTGATAATAAAAAATTTGATTTAATTCTATTCTTCTTAATTATTAAAAACAATTAATAATTAAGAATAATTATGATCTAACTAATTTGCTTATATTCTTAAATTTGCCAAAATTTAATGGCTTAATGACTTTCTAAATAAATTAACATGAGATGAATTTATGGAAAACAATTATGTTTTTATTTTGATATATTATAAATTTTTAACGATAAATTATTAATTCTTAAAAATTTTAATTATAATCAATATTTGATATCTAGTATTGATTTGATTTTGACAGTAGAGTATTTCCAAATCATATCAGATAAGCAAATCATTTAGTCATCATTTTCTATAATATCTTCTTACAATTAATTTTCAATAGAGAGTTAGTTTGAAAGATTTTATTGAACTGGAATTTATACAGTCTCTGAATTAATTGCTTGAATTATAGATGAAATATAAGTCTAATTCTGAAATTAGTCTAAAATTTGAGATGAAGATTTTGTTTATAACATTGTTATAAATAAACTTTTCACATAAGAGTAATCTGGAATTTTGTCCTATTTTAGGGTATCTATGTAGGACATAAATTTCAAGAACTCTTAAGGAAATTTATCGTATAATGCTATTTTGTTAAATAGGGAGGTCTTCATCTCTCCAATAGATTTAATTTCTGAATTTGTAAACTCCTTAGAAATTAGTTAAGACCATGGCAATTTATCTAATTTAATATTCATAAATACAATTTCTCAAATAGACAAGCACATATAATAAACTTTCTAAATCATCTTTAAAACTTAAATACTCACCTTTATGAGATGCTCTACTTGCAAAGTTTAGAGAACCAATAAATAAGTTTTTTTAGTTTTTTAAATTTTCAAGAGATTGAGATAAGCCAAAATCTATTATTTAAATAAATCCAGGCTTTAGTAGTTAATCTATTGAAGTATTTTGTATCGTTTATGATAACATTATATTTTCTGGTTTAATATCCAGATGTAAAATTTGTTTAAGATGAATTTTTTCTAAAGTCTCAATAATATTTAATCCAATAGCTAAAACTTATGATAAAGACAATTCTTAACATATTAAAACATCATGTAAATTACAATTTAACAGAGGCATTATAAGAAATGATCTAAATACTTTCATATTATTATACTTATTATCAGGTGTCATTCCATAGTTGATTATTTTTGGAATTCCTTCTATTTCATCTAATTCTTTAAGTACTTTAAATTCATTTTCAATTTGTCCTGAATTAGGACATTTTTCCATTTTTATTGCATATAACTATGAAGTTAGATTATGCTAAGCTTTGAACACTTAATGTGCTGAACTTTGACCAATCATTGACAGTACTTCAAATTTAGAAGTTTGAAGATACATATTAAAAAAAAATTAAATTATGGAATTTTTGAAGAACAAATTTCTCATCTAAATTAAAATAAAATGAAAGTGATTAATAAATATTATTGGATGCTTAAATTTTTATTTTCAATTTTTGGGCTCATTTGAGAATAGCTAATTCTATATAATATATTAATTTTTCTTAATACACTCCTTAAAATCTAATAACAAGAAAGAAGTAAATTTTATCCTTTAATTTTTATATATATTTTTGTTTACATTGTTTATTATTTACATTCTCATGTTTTAATATTTTATTTAACTAAGTGCTCTCTTTCAGTTAAATAGAGTATTTGTCTAATATTAAAAGCTTAATCTATAAATGGGATGACAAGTTTTTATTAAATACTAAATAATTATGATCAAAGTAAACAATAATTCACTATTCAATGTAAATTCTACTTTAATGAATAATTTATGATATTACTCCATCTCACTTTTTAAATTATCAAAAAGTTTCTTGTTATTAATAATATATTCTAGGATAAATGATATTTGAATTTAAATTAAGTGCTTGTTTTAGTATGAAAAAATTTTTAGATTATTCTTAATTATTAAATAAATTTCTAAATTGTTCATATATCTAAATTCAGAAAATCAAAAATTTATTATACTTCAATTATACTTAAAAACCTAAACAAAATATAATTAAAGATAATAATTCATGATTTAACAAAGATGTTTGAATTTATTAGAAACCTTCAAAATTTTTTATTATTAATATTAGATCTAGAAAATTATTTTTCATTTTGGAAAATTTAGTAGAGATAAAATATAAAGATTTATATAAATTCATAAATCACACAAAGTTCTTATTTTTTATAATTGGATTTAAAGTATACAATAATTTATGAAAAACAGATTTTTACCTGTCTTAAAGTTATCTAGTTAATAAAAATAAACTGTAATTTTANTGAATTTTTTCTAAAGTCTCAATAATATTTAATCCAATAGCTAAAACTTATGATAAAGACAATTCTTAACATATTAAAACATCATGTAAATTACAATTTAACAGAGGCATTATAAGAAATGATCTAAATACTTTCATATTATTATACTTATTATCAGGTGTCATTCCATAGTTGATTATTTTTGGAATTCCTTCTATTTCATCTAATTCTTTAAGTACTTTAAATTCATTTTCAATTTGTCCTGAATTAGGACATTTTTCCATTTTTATTGCATATAACTATGAAGTTAGATTATGCTAAGCTTTGAACACTTAATGTGCTGAACTTTGACCAATCATTGACAGTACTTCAAATTTAGAAGTTTGAAGATACATATTAAAAAAAAATTAAATTATGGAATTTTTGAAGAACAAATTTCTCATCTAAATTAAAATAAAATGAAAGTGATTAATAAATATTATTGGATGCTTAAATTTTTATTTTCAATTTTTGGGCTCATTTGAGAATAGCTAATTCTATATAATATATTAATTTTTCTTAATACACTCCTTAAAATCTAATAACAAGAAAGAAGTAAATTTTATCCTTTAATTTTTATATATATTTTTGTTTACATTGTTTATTATTTACATTCTCATGTTTTAATATTTTATTTAACTAAGTGCTCTCTTTCAGTTAAATAGAGTATTTGTCTAATATTAAAAGCTTAATCTATAAATGGGATGACAAGTTTTTATTAAATACTAAATAATTATGATCAAAGTAAACAATAATTCACTATTCAATGTAAATTCTACTTTAATGAATAATTTATGATATTACTCCATCTCACTTTTTAAATTATCAAAAAGTTTCTTGTTATTAATAATATATTCTAGGATAAATGATATTTGAATTTAAATTAAGTGCTTGTTTTAGTATGAAAAAATTTTTAGATTATTCTTAATTATTAAATAAATTTCTAAATTGTTCATATATCTAAATTCAGAAAATCAAAAATTTATTATACTTCAATTATACTTAAAAACCTAAACAAAATATAATTAAAGATAATAATTCATGATTTAACAAAGATGTTTGAATTTATTAGAAACCTTCAAAATTTTTTATTATTAATATTAGATCTAGAAAATTATTTTTCATTTTGGAAAATTTAGTAGAGATAAAATATAAAGATTTATATAAATTCATAAATCACACAAAGTTCTTATTTTTTATAATTGGATTTAAAGTATACAATAATTTATGAAAAACAGATTTTTACCTGTCTTAAAGTTATCTAGTTAATAAAAATAAACTGTAATTTTATTATTATAATGAAATTAATATTAAAATTTTATTTTATTAATAATTCTCTATCTTTATTTTTAATAGAATAAATAGGCTTTATATTTGTATTATTTCGTCAAAATAGAATAATAAAATGAATATGAAACCTAGAGTAGTTATGGTTGGAACAATAGGATGTGGTAAAACAACTTTACTCAACAAAATTTGTAATAAAAATCTTTAAACATATTTGGGAGGACCTCAAGATACTAAAGAACCAAATATAAGTCAAAGCGCTTATGGGAAAGGATTTCTATTGTTAGATGCACCTGGATTTTGTAATGATTGTACAAGACTAAATGATTGTATTGGAATACTAAAATCTATAACAGATGAACCTATAAACTAACTGCTTGTTGTAGTTAAATTTGATCGACATACTAAAGAGGAATTGAGAAGGATTATAAATATTTTCAAAAGAATTAAGGATGTTATTACAGTAGTTATTACTTTTTTTCATCAATCTGATGATTAAAATGAAAATAGAGAAAAAATTATTAAATGGCTAAAGTAAATAGAAGTAGAATCAGTAATATTTAATTGTATGAATACATCAGGAGAAGAGCTTTGCAATTAGATCGATAGAATAAATTCTAATTCAAAATAAGGAAGGATATTTGAGTTAAAATAAACAGAACTCTTTAGTAATTTTAATTTATTTAGTTATAATGATGACATATTTGAAAATTTGATAGATGCACAATATTAACTTAGAGATTAGTTTTTAGGCATCGGGCGATTATTTAGAAAAGTAATTGAAGATTTTCCAATTACTCAATCAAAATTTTCAGAGTTTGCACATTAAATAATATTACATATCAAAGATCAAGCTGATAATTGTTTTTTTTAATTTAAAGAAAAGAGGATGGATTTATTTGAAGAAATATATGCAAGTTGTCAATATAAAGAATTATAAATTTTAGCAGACAATCGAATTAAGAAATATTTATCTCAATAAGTTTATCATACTATTTATTGTGCATTATAAAAAATGAAATAAGGTGGGTTTTTAGATGTTAATTTTATTAAACAATGTCCTTATTGTGGAGAAATTTGGATATAGCCAAATGAATTTGAGGGTTTAATATTTTGTGGATCATCAAAGTCTAAAGAAATTTATCTTCAATAAAAATTTTAAATAAAAATGTTAGGCTGCGGGAAGTAATTATAATGGAATGATATGAAATCTTTACCATTATCTTTTTTGATTAATCAATCTAATATAGAATCTTTTAATTATTTATCTGCTGTCTTATCATAAGAGGAGGAAGATAAATATATTAAAGCAGCTAAGAAAATTGAAACTTTAATAAAAGAGAAAAAAATTATAATAATTTGATTTTGCTATCATTTTAATATATTATAATTGAAATATTTATAATTATTAATAATAATACAAGTTGATTTTAGATTATTTAAACCAGACACCAGAATTCTTTTAATTGATAAATTATTTTTGCCATTCCTCACTTTCTTCAGATCTTTTGAAATCAAAATTGCTAATAAATCATTGGAATAAATATTAATCTTATTTTCTCCCAAAAAACCAAATATTATTGATAAAACTTCAACTGTTATTGAAATTTCTAATCTAAGTATTTTTATCTTAATGAAATTCATACAAATATATTGAATTTCACAAAACAGGTGATAGTTTTCAGAGTATATCATAATTTGATAATTTATATAAAAGCAAATCAAATATAATAAAAGATTTTATAAATATATCTTTATAATTTTTAGATATCTTTCGTTTAATAATCCCGATCAAGAATAGTTATAATCAATTATTATTTATTCATAATTTTTAAAAGTGTAACAAAATTAATCCTTTTTGAAAAATTATTTTATTATTAACATTATTAATTATTACTATTATTGCCTATTAGCTGCAAGTTCTAACTAAAATAGAGGTTTAGGTTCTTAATACGAATAATTTCTTTATTATTGTATAAAATTTTTATTTTAAAATAACTTTTATTAAAATATTGTTAATCATTTTTAAGCTTATTTAGAAATTTTGGTTGTAATTTCAAAAATACTGAAAGAGGAATCAGTGTGAGTTAATATTAGTAAAATTAAATAATTAAAAAAACCCAATTATATATTTATTTATTTCTGAGGTTGTAATAATGTTATGCATAAAGCATTAAACCTCATAAATTCATTTAATTAAAAATAAAGATGATTATGGAACAGACCCTTCTTTATTATGAAAGAGATTGTCTGATGATTACTCTAAATAAATTGGAATTGGAATCAATATTCATCCTTCTACTAAAAATGGGACTGCGAAAGGTTGAATATTATAATGCTATTTTTGCAACTTATTTAGATATTTAAGCCATCTCTAAATATTAAATAATGCTGCTTTAAGATTTTATGGATCTCTATTTTCAAATATTATAGAATTTTAATTTAATCTACATCCTTTTCTTCATTTTATATATTTATATCAGCATTAAAGAAATCTAATTTTTTAATGCCAGGAAAGAATTAGCAAGACTAAAAAAGAATTATAAAAAATATATTTTAGTAATAATTGATAAGAAATAGAAAACAGCCAAATAAGTTAAAAAAAAGTATAAATTATAAAATTACAGTGTTATCAGATGATGGTTTCAGAGAGGAAAGCTGTACAGGAATCTTAAAGCATGTAGGTATTAATATAATAAACAGCTGAAAAAGTTCAATAAAAAATTCGAATATTAAAAAAAAGATGAATTATTGGCAAATAACATGAAAGATTTCTATTTAATAATCTTTTTTCAAAGAAAAGGATAGATGGATTTTATCTAGCTATTCATGTGCCTGAAAACCTTCAAAGATGGTTGTAAAGATCCTTATGATTTATGGAAATAAAGAGCAGTAAATTGAATATATTAACTGGTAAAAAATCAAATTAGACAAGTGATTTCAATTAAACAGTTAATCAATCCAAAAATATTGAATTTCGCTTTATTATCCAAGCTTGACCATTGTCATAGTCAGAGTTAAGTTAGAGAGTGAAAAGCAATTATATCATTTAAAGAAATATATCACTTGTTAAAAAGTATTATTGTCCCTTTCATATATCCTGAGTTATCATTTTTCTGATATGGTTATGATATTAATTAATAAATTCAATTTTAATGTATGAAATTAAATATTCATGATGATATATCTTTAATTTTCACTTTAGAATTACTAATATAATCACATGGATATAAATCTTAAGATGTATCTATCTCTTTGATCTATATCTATATATATATATACTAAAATATCTTATGAATTGTATTTAGTCCATTTTATAAATTTATATTCTACACTCACTTCCATTATTATTATATCATTAACTTAAAATTTAAATGCTTTTCCTTGAGTATTATTAGAATGATGGAAATATGTAACACCTTATTCTTTTAATAGGTATGATCTAGATTATAATTAATTATATTTAATACCCTTTCCTTAACCATCACCTTGATATCCATTTTATTTAATCATTTCTCTAAATCCTATTCCAATTTCACACCACGAACTAATTCTAAGTATTTCGAATTCAAAGTGTAATATACCAATTTTAGGAATCACTTTTTCACGCATACAATAGCCTTCAGTATTAATATCAATATCAAAAATCTTTCCATTATCACTTATCACAATATCATTATGTTTATAATTATACGAAAATGTTAATCCTTTTAAAATTATAAATTCTTAGATAATTTGATTAAAAATTCATACTTTTTCTAATTCGATTTTATCTATTTCTAACTTCTTATTAATTTCATTAAGTTTTGTTATACTGTTTTCAATTCTGAATCTTTTTACACTATTTTTTGATTAAATGATTCTTATAATTTATTTTCTATTCAATATTGTGAAANAAGACTAAAAAAGAATTATAAAAAATATATTTTAGTAATAATTGATAAGAAATAGAAAACAGCCAAATAAGTTAAAAAAAAGTATAAATTATAAAATTACAGTGTTATCAGATGATGGTTTCAGAGAGGAAAGCTGTACAGGAATCTTAAAGCATGTAGGTATTAATATAATAAACAGCTGAAAAAGTTCAATAAAAAATTCGAATATTAAAAAAAAGATGAATTATTGGCAAATAACATGAAAGATTTCTATTTAATAATCTTTTTTCAAAGAAAAGGATAGATGGATTTTATCTAGCTATTCATGTGCCTGAAAACCTTCAAAGATGGTTGTAAAGATCCTTATGATTTATGGAAATAAAGAGCAGTAAATTGAATATATTAACTGGTAAAAAATCAAATTAGACAAGTGATTTCAATTAAACAGTTAATCAATCCAAAAATATTGAATTTCGCTTTATTATCCAAGCTTGACCATTGTCATAGTCAGAGTTAAGTTAGAGAGTGAAAAGCAATTATATCATTTAAAGAAATATATCACTTGTTAAAAAGTATTATTGTCCCTTTCATATATCCTGAGTTATCATTTTTCTGATATGGTTATGATATTAATTAATAAATTCAATTTTAATGTATGAAATTAAATATTCATGATGATATATCTTTAATTTTCACTTTAGAATTACTAATATAATCACATGGATATAAATCTTAAGATGTATCTATCTCTTTGATCTATATCTATATATATATATACTAAAATATCTTATGAATTGTATTTAGTCCATTTTATAAATTTATATTCTACACTCACTTCCATTATTATTATATCATTAACTTAAAATTTAAATGCTTTTCCTTGAGTATTATTAGAATGATGGAAATATGTAACACCTTATTCTTTTAATAGGTATGATCTAGATTATAATTAATTATATTTAATACCCTTTCCTTAACCATCACCTTGATATCCATTTTATTTAATCATTTCTCTAAATCCTATTCCAATTTCACACCACGAACTAATTCTAAGTATTTCGAATTCAAAGTGTAATATACCAATTTTAGGAATCACTTTTTCACGCATACAATAGCCTTCAGTATTAATATCAATATCAAAAATCTTTCCATTATCACTTATCACAATATCATTATGTTTATAATTATACGAAAATGTTAATCCTTTTAAAATTATAAATTCTTAGATAATTTGATTAAAAATTCATACTTTTTCTAATTCGATTTTATCTATTTCTAACTTCTTATTAATTTCATTAAGTTTTGTTATACTGTTTTCAATTCTGAATCTTTTTACACTATTTTTTGATTAAATGATTCTTATAATTTATTTTCTATTCAATATTGTGAAAATTTAATACATTAATCTTATTGTTCCTTTAATAAATTGATATTATCTTATTCAAATTATTTCTTCAGATTAATATTATCTTAATTTACTTGATCTAATTATTTTTTAAGATTTTAATATTCTTTTTCCTTCATCTCTAATTTCTTATTTAAATCAGTTATTTTTTCTTCAAATTCCTTTTTTTATAAATTGAGTTATTTTGTATCTATGAAATAAATAATAAGATTACTTTCTAATTCTAAATTTTAATTTTTTTCTTTATAATTATTAAATCATTCTCCAATTAATAAATATTACAAAACTTCTTGAATTATTTACTATTATTCTCAAAGTTATTCTCATAATCATTAATTATATTCTATAAATTTTAATATTAAGACTTGATTAATTATTCTGATTTATTAGTCTAATCTGTTGTTTTAGATTAAATATTTGATTAAATTTATTTTATTATCTAAACATGTTTCTAATATAGTTAAATAGTCTAATCAAATAAATTGAATTAACTTTATTATTTTTTTGCCTAATCAATCAAAAGTTATATTTCCAATATTAAATTAATATAATCTTTATAATTTTCATCCTTTTACAGATTTCTAAATTTATGAAATCGTATCAGATAATTATATTATAAAATTTCTTTCAACTATTTAAAAATCTAAATAAATGTATAACTTGAGATACCTCTAAAAATATCTCATGATTATTAGATATCTTATTAATCATATTGTTTTAACGATTCGAGATGATTCTCAATCTCTTTCTTGAAAATTTAATCTTTACTTTTTACATTTGTTGCTGCTTAATTTGATGTTACATTTTCCTTTTCTATCAATTACTTTAAATCTTTCAGTAATTATTAATTATCTAATGCTTAAATTGAAATTTTTTTATCTAATTAGATTCTTTTGTCTTATCAATACATAAGTATTAGTCTGTAAATAATTTGTCGCTAATTTCATTTAATTTTTAATTATAATTCTTTCTCATCTAACCTATTTAATTAAATAATTCAGCCTTTTTTTCTTTACTCTCCTTCTTATACTCTTTTAAAATCCTTTCAGATTCTGAACTGTATTCCTTCCATTATTTATTTACATTTTCTATAGTTGAATATTTAATTAATGGATTTTCAGAAATACAATCTACGCATGCAAGTCTCTTTTCAATTTCCTTTTCTTATGTATTTATATCAATCATGATAATTTCCTTTTTATTATGACTGCATATTCTACTTAAACTTGGAGTTTTCTATTTAAATATAATTTATAAATACTGATTCATTTTAATTCATTAATAATGGAAGTAATTCAATAACATTAATTTCCATAATATCCTTTATTTTTTCTTTTGTATTTATAAAAGTATCTAAAGTCTATGTGTATTTAGAATTATTAAATAATTATTCAAATTATTATTAGATTTCATTAATGAAATTATTATCTTCTAATAATTATGATGATTTTTATTTGTCCTAAGTATATAATTCTAATAATTATTTAATATCTTCAAAGTAATTATATTACTATTCATAATTTTTTATTTCTAATTTTTCTTTTTAAATAGGAATTGTATACCTGTTTATACATTTTTTTCCAATGAATCATTAATAGATTATTTGAAATCTATAATTTAATCTAAAATATTCTTATAATAATTGAGCCAAGCTTAATTCTCTTTAGTTTTAATGTCTAATTATAGAGATTTACTAAGGAAATCTAATAATTTTATGAAAAAAAATAAAAATAAAAAGCCTATCAAAGATACTGATCTTATTAATTGTAATATTAAAATGTTAAGAAATTTTTTAACTTCTTTTCAAAATGAATATATCAAGCTTTAGATTCTTTTCTTCGATTATTCTATAGTTGTTACTTTATAATTTTTCATTTTTCAAATAAGCATTTACCACACACAATAGAATTAAATCTGTGCTTTATCTGATAAGTCCAAATCAACTGCAATAAGTTCTAAATTGTCAATTTTGCATATAGTTTCTGAATTTTCTTGGGTTTATTTTTATTAGAGGGTATTCATTTTGATTATTTTAATGATTAATGAAATTTATAAGATTTATCACTCTAAAATGTTAAAATATATGAAATTACCTTCTAATTCTATCATAAAATAAAAATATATCAGATATAAATTCAAGTTCATTATAAATATTAATCAAACTTTCGTTATTATAAATAAATCACTCTATTTATATTTTCCGTATTCCTTTGATAAATCAATATTTTAGAAATTCCTTGATTTTCACTCTTTTAAGCCTTTACAATTTCGTGAATATCAATTATACATTACATATAGAAATAATTTAATTAAAAAAATAAGAATAAAATTCTATTTTATTCTTTTAATGATAATATCCTAATAAAAATCTTCAATAATGAATTTTATATTAAAAGGAGATTATTTACTCCTATATCTATAAAGGGCTAGTTTAGAATGGTTGGCTTTTCTAAGAAATTTCAAAAGTTTCTCTTTTTTTTCATCAAATTGAAGTTTCTCTTCTATCGTTATCCCTAAAATTATTATTTTCTATAATTATTTTTATCTTATATCCAACTTTATCCAGTAAATCTTCAAATGATAAACTTAAATATATAATTAAACAGAATTATTAGTGTTATCATAGAAACTTATTTTAAAATAATTTGAGATTATAAGGAAAATATATTATATTTTACAAATTATCATAACATTTAGAAATAACTATTCGTAATGCTTCGGTGTTTTAAACTATTAGTTAATTGCTTAACCATTCTAATAATTTTTCAACAATTATACTATTTTATAATTTCATTCATTTTTACTAATAGGGATATTTCAAACTGCAAAGTTCAAATTGAAAATAATTATAATTTAAATTAATAAATTAAATTCATAGTTTATTAATTATCAGCTAGCTGATTATATGTAACACTTCTAATTCTTAAGGTAACAATGAATTAATTTGTTATTTGTGGTAAATTGCTAAAATGAACTTAAATATCAACTTATATACAATGAATATAATCAATATTGAAACTTATGATACTAAATAAGAATTAATAATTATGATAAAATAACAAAAATTATATCATCATAAAACTCAGTTTTTGTAAAATATTTTTTTTAATACAACAAAAAGATCTTTTAATAAAAATACTATTATTTATTAATTTATTCAATCTTCTTCTTCATTATCCTTAATATACTTTTCACTTTGAGCAATAGGAGTAACTCTTGAGGACTTTTATTTCTTTATTTCAAAAATTTCTGCCATCTAATCAACTCTTTTCTGTTTCCTATAATTTTTAATAAGTTTAATAGATATACATTTTTTCCAATACAAATGCGGTAATAGTGTTTCTAGATTAATGTAATGAGCTTTCTCGAACTGACTTTCTTATAAATTATTATCTTTCTTTAGCTTAGGCTGGGCTTCTTAGACTTAAAGGAATCGTATCTATATTTTGCTCCATGTGTCTCTCCATAGCAATTTACCACTAANATATATCAGATATAAATTCAAGTTCATTATAAATATTAATCAAACTTTCGTTATTATAAATAAATCACTCTATTTATATTTTCCGTATTCCTTTGATAAATCAATATTTTAGAAATTCCTTGATTTTCACTCTTTTAAGCCTTTACAATTTCGTGAATATCAATTATACATTACATATAGAAATAATTTAATTAAAAAAATAAGAATAAAATTCTATTTTATTCTTTTAATGATAATATCCTAATAAAAATCTTCAATAATGAATTTTATATTAAAAGGAGATTATTTACTCCTATATCTATAAAGGGCTAGTTTAGAATGGTTGGCTTTTCTAAGAAATTTCAAAAGTTTCTCTTTTTTTTCATCAAATTGAAGTTTCTCTTCTATCGTTATCCCTAAAATTATTATTTTCTATAATTATTTTTATCTTATATCCAACTTTATCCAGTAAATCTTCAAATGATAAACTTAAATATATAATTAAACAGAATTATTAGTGTTATCATAGAAACTTATTTTAAAATAATTTGAGATTATAAGGAAAATATATTATATTTTACAAATTATCATAACATTTAGAAATAACTATTCGTAATGCTTCGGTGTTTTAAACTATTAGTTAATTGCTTAACCATTCTAATAATTTTTCAACAATTATACTATTTTATAATTTCATTCATTTTTACTAATAGGGATATTTCAAACTGCAAAGTTCAAATTGAAAATAATTATAATTTAAATTAATAAATTAAATTCATAGTTTATTAATTATCAGCTAGCTGATTATATGTAACACTTCTAATTCTTAAGGTAACAATGAATTAATTTGTTATTTGTGGTAAATTGCTAAAATGAACTTAAATATCAACTTATATACAATGAATATAATCAATATTGAAACTTATGATACTAAATAAGAATTAATAATTATGATAAAATAACAAAAATTATATCATCATAAAACTCAGTTTTTGTAAAATATTTTTTTTAATACAACAAAAAGATCTTTTAATAAAAATACTATTATTTATTAATTTATTCAATCTTCTTCTTCATTATCCTTAATATACTTTTCACTTTGAGCAATAGGAGTAACTCTTGAGGACTTTTATTTCTTTATTTCAAAAATTTCTGCCATCTAATCAACTCTTTTCTGTTTCCTATAATTTTTAATAAGTTTAATAGATATACATTTTTTCCAATACAAATGCGGTAATAGTGTTTCTAGATTAATGTAATGAGCTTTCTCGAACTGACTTTCTTATAAATTATTATCTTTCTTTAGCTTAGGCTGGGCTTCTTAGACTTAAAGGAATCGTATCTATATTTTGCTCCATGTGTCTCTCCATAGCAATTTACCACTAATAATTCTTAAAGGCTATAATTTCTTTTGCTTAGGGTATTAAAAATTGTTTTAGTTTACTAAACAATTTGGCTACTCGATTACGTTACTCACTACGATCAGCTAAGATTTTTCTCATATAAGGAATGTGATTGAGAAAGGGAAAGATATTTCTTATTTTATTCCTAAGTTTATCCATCTTCTCATCTAAATTGCTGCTCTTCTCTTTTAAATATTCAGCTAAAATCTTAGATATTAAAGTATATGTGATATGCAAATTCAAAATCGAAATTACTATTGCATATGGAATTTGTATTTCTTATGAATTTGATTACTCTGAAACATATATACCTATAGCTAGTGCAATTGAAGCTAAACAGACATTTGTTGAATAATAATCTAATTTATTAAGATTATTTAGATTATATGGTTTATACTTCAAACTTAATTCCAAATACACTCCGATAATAAGTGAGATGATAGTTGCTTTTATTATGACACTGTCATCATAATATGTCAAGAAAATGATCATTAATTCTTTCTGTAATATTTTGATCACTTCCCAAAAGTAAGCTCTTTTTGTGTATTCATTATAAAGATAACCCCATTACAATCTTACCTTCTTATCATCTAATAAATTAGAATTACTATAAAGACCATAAAAAAAATAGATTGGGATAAGGATTGCAAGAATCAATAGCATAGGTAAACATAGTTCTAGCATCCATTTTTCATGATAAGGAGTATCAAATCTTTAAGAAACATTTGATTAAACCCATTTATAACCTGAGATTTCTCTATATGATATGAGTTGAACAAATCCTCCAATTAAACTTGGCTATAAATAGATGTACATATAAATGAGAGTAGTTGTAATGACACTTCTATTAAAAGTTATATGTTTAAATTTCACAGCAAGTAAATAACAAAATAAAAAGAAGGTTATATATAGAAATGGCATAATTATTTACCAAATCATTCGACCATATTATATTTCAAATGTAAAAACATGAGATAAGAAGCAATCCAATGAATAAGTCATAGTCTAAATTGGAGATCCAACTGCATTAATTGTACTTTGTAGTCCACTTGGAAGTTTCAATTAAAAAGTAGATATTGAAGAAATGATTTACAAATAATTTGTCAGCATTTTTATTAATATTGCCGATTGATTTGTATTTTAAGTAACTGCTAATCCTAACATCATAATACTAATTATTCTAACAACCTCTTCGATAGCCTTTAAAGTACTTTACACTGACACTAATATCGAAACTAAAGTCCTAACATAATATTTAATTAATTATACCATATACTCACGAATGTTATAATTATTGCATTTTTCTCTTTCTCTAAGCATGATCCACAAGAATATTTCTAACTAACCGAATATTGTCCATCTCCTCTTGTATCATATAAATCACATTATTCGCATAGTGCTCCAATATGTCCTAAAAAACAAGAATTATCACCTTCCTCCCAACCACCTAAACAATTTTCTTCCAAATTTAAACAATAACTCACTATATTACTTTAAAAATATGGTCTCCAAAATCCAAATTTTAAATTTAATAAAGCTGATTATACACTTATTGTTGAAATATCATCTTTCAGCTCGCATTTTTCAGAATTTATGTTTAATGAGAAAAGACCTTAATCACTATTACATGGAACACATGAAAAATCAGTATTATTTTTTATCTCACCATATTAACAACTCAAAGTCTTAATGTTCACTCTTAATTTGTAATTAGAATGAGTATTTATCAAATTAAATGGATATTATTCATTGTAAATAGGAATTACAATTGAATTACATCTAAATTACAATTATAGAACAATTTCTGAAGGTAATGCATTATCAAAATAAACTATCAAATCATCTAAATTATAATCTTAAGTTTAATCATTAAAAGTTATCTTATTTAGATTAGTAAGATTATTACTAAATATATCTTCTTATAGTGATTCTGATGTATTTAATATTCTACTATCAATTTCACAAAATGAATTCTTAAGATTTTTCATTACACTGTTATCTTTGCTCAAAGCAATCACCCTAAATTTATAACTAAAAGGGGAATATGATTTATTTTCTTTAGAAAATTCTTAATAAGAAGAAATCTTTTGACCACTTGGCAAGAAAAGATATTAGGTTTAAAGTATTTTACTAGATTATAATATGACTTATTAAATTAATAAATCTTAAGTTTCTTCAATTGTAATTGTTGAAAATAAAGAATTTTCATCTGTTAAAGTAACAGTTAATTTTTATGGTATCGACACTCTATCATTTCCAAAATAATCAGCTTTATTGTTTTCTAAAAAAGTTCCCAACTTAAAATAATCCATATCCTATTAATTAACCAAATATATTCCTCCTCCTATTTATGCTGAATTATGTTAAATTAAGCTATTTTTTATCAATACATCCTAATTCATTTTAATTATTAAAGCACCTCCTTTTTCAGATGCATTGTTGTATTGAAAAATCGAATTTTCTATTAAAATTTTAACATTTTCAGCAAATAAACAAGTTCCATTTTAAGCTCTATTGAACTGGCAAACATAGTTTTCTATATAAATTTCAAACTTCATGGATTACAACTAAATCTCTGAATTTGAAAGGAATCGACGTGAGTTTACATTTTCTTTTGTTATCTAAATACAACCATTAAATCCACAAGAAGAATTTGTTACTTTAAGTTTAGAAATGTATTATTTCATTAAAAGATTTTAAACTTTCAAATAAGATTAAAATATCAATCCATTCCTACAGTAAATGCAATTTATTTATGTAAATAATATGTTATCCAACTTAAATTAAGATAAGTCTGTTAGTTCTTAAAATAACAGTAATCCAGATTAAGTATTTTCAATTATCAAATTACTTTGTTGTTCATTCTATTTAAGTATTTAAGATTAAATGCAATCTCCATAAGTAAAGTCTTAGTTGATATAATCTGAAAATAAGTTGAGTGGTGCTTTAGTATTTTGTGCATTAGAAATGCATTTAAAAAATACAGTGTAATCTTTAACAATTTATTACTGACAACTATAGCTCTTTAATTGTAATGTAACAGTTATATTTGATATTATTAAACCATTTATCTGAATGGTATTTAAGAGATCTAATTAATAATATTTTATATACATTAATTTGGATGCAGTTTCAATAGTACATTACTAATGATACTATTTGATATTTTTAAATTCTGAATTGATACTATCAAAGCATTATTGATTTGTAATGCAGATTCTAATATGATATTATCAATTTCAATATTTTATAAAATAACATTGCTTGCTTAATTAATATAAAATAAGGCTCTGTTATTTATTATTGCTATTTCTTCTGATTTTGAAAGTTGGGTATATTTATTTAAATATCTTGTAAAACCTTCTTATGTATTTTAGACAAAAAGTGAATTCAGTTTAACAATTTGTTAAATTTGGGTAGTAGAAGAGAAGATTACATATAAAATAGATCCAAGTTTAGAAAATACATTTTGAATATTTAAATCCTAAAATGTTAGAGTTACTTTAGGAGAATCTGATAGTATGTAAATGAAACCTCCATATTCTTTGGATGTGATATTCTCGATTGATAATTCATTCAAAGTAACTTCAAGAGACTATGCTGAAGTGCTATCTAAATATATTGCTCCTCCAAATCCTTAATCTTTGGAAAAAGTGGTTGAGATATTCTTAAATGATGTTTGTGATATAGAAATAATGCTGTTTTTTTAAGCTTTAATTTGCATTGCTCCTCCAGAGGATCCTATAGATTATTCGAAATTACAAAATGAAATTTCTAAATTTTCTACTAATAATTAAGCTACACCAGAAGTAGATTTAACTTGAAATAATTAGTTTATTTGCTCATAATATACTTTTTCAGATTATAAAAATCCCCATAATAAATAAGGTTAGATTAATTAATAATTAAAATAACTATTCTAATAAAATGAACAATTTAAAAAAACTATTTACCTACTTTTAATATAGATAATAGTATCAGTGCCATTGTAAACAGTATTGTTTAAGAAATTTGAATTTGTGATTGTGATGGATCCCAAAATACAATTTAGATTTAAAAGTAAAGAAGAAATTTAAAGGTTATTCTAAACATATTCATGTAATATATTGCCAACAAAAGTTATATTTGATAGTTCTAAAGTTGTTTATTGAACTGAATCTATAAAGATAATAGCAGTTTAATATGTTGAGTTTGATAATAATAATAAATTTGATTCTATAATTAAATTAGAAAAATGAATCCTTTCGAATTGTTATTATTTCACTTATTCAGATGATTTATAATATATAATAGGAGAGTTATATGATTAAGCAAATTTAATTTGCATATCAATTATTTCAAAATTAAGCACTGAAGTAACAAAGAGTGATTGTAAATAATATTCACCCATAACTTATTGTAATTAGCAATCAAGATATTAATGAAGTCCTAAAAATTTATAATTATCACTTTAAGTGATTCTACTAGAGGTTATTATTAATGATTTAGCCTCAACAATACTAATATCTATTAATCCAATTCCTCGAATTATATCCAATTCTGATATTTTTATATCATCAAATGAGATATAGATAAAACAGGAGTTATAAGTGTTTAATTTAAAATCTTTTGTAATGAATGATACATAATTCTTTGATATTAAAATTGTATTAATTTAGATTTTTGAATTCTCATTGTTATATTTATTAAAAGAGAACAATTTAGTAGTTTGATGATATTCATTCTGCTCAATGATAATATTTGATAATTCAATTTGTAAATTATTCAATTGAAGTTAATCAGAATTTATAACACCATAACTAAATTCTTTAAATATACAATCTTTAATGATAAGATTTTGAATTTGATTATTATTATTAAGAATAATAAGTGTAGAATTTTAGATTAACGAATTTGTAAATTAGATTCCTTAAAGTGAAACTTCTTTCAAAAGATATAAGTTTAAGAAAGTTAAACAATTAAGAACTTCAACTTATAGTTTTAAATTATGAGCAGTAAGATATCCATATTATTTTGAATAATTTGTATCTATTAATGTTGAATTTGAAAATTTTGCATTCACTAAAAAATCTACTATTTCAATGATATCATTTTTGTTTAGATTAAAAAACAGAGTGACTTAATTTAGAAGGATAGAGTTAAGAATCTCAAAAGATTAAAGTTTTATTGATTTGATATAAGTAGTATCAGCAATATATAAAAATTAGTTAATTGTATTTTGCATAAGATTAAATATTTTGAAATTAATTAGATTTAACTTTTTAACATCATAAAAAAGGAATCTAGATTAATCATTTTGTTAAGTTAATTGTTGATATTAAATAGTGTCCAATATTATTGTTTAAGGCATTCTACTTTAAAATATTATTGATTTTAATTTATTATTAAATAATGGTTAAAAGTGACCACCTTTGATTGTTATTTAATTAAAATTTTAGAAAGTAATTTATCTTTCAAACTCAATTATAGTATTTTAATTTAATTAAATATTTAATTCAACATTTCTAAAATAATTTTAATATTTACATTGTTGAAAATATATTTGCACTAAATACTTGTTGAATTATGGCATTTCCTTAAATTCTGCATATTTGTGGTTTTACACTTACAATATTTATAATAATTGTCTTAATTAACATTAAATTAGCTGATATATAAAAATCATCATTTTCAAACTAAAAATAAATTATTCATAATATTTACTTCTTTAAAACTATTTCCAGATATAAGATCATCTAAAAGTATATTTTATTATTTGAATTAAGTTTTTTAATAAGGTGATAACATAGAATCTAATACTGTTATATAATCTTATTAAGAACAATACAAATTAATAGGAATTATAATCTGTTATTCACATTTATTACCATTTATGCATGAAATAAAACTTCCCAATTCTTAATCATAATAATAATCTTAATCTTCAAAACTTTTTAAACATTGATAAGTATTAGTATAGTATATATCATTGTTAAAAAGAGGATTAATTTATTAAATTTCATCCTATGATCTAATTCTACATAATGCACAATTTTATGGACATGCAATACATTAATTATTAGATAAACTTAATTTTCTACCTTTTTATTCCAGTTCACATCTAATGCATTTATTCTCACCATCAATAAATTAACATTCTAAACATGAATCAGGACAGGCTTTTATGCACTTTTAATCTACCAATTCATAACCTTTTATACACATTGTACAAATAATTTCATAATCATCCTAGTTTTCACTTTGAGAATAGAGTTTAAAGGGATGATTATTATCAAAATTTATTAACATTTAATAAAATGCTCTTATATTGATTTTCCAGTAATCTTTAGATAATTTTTATTATTAAGCACAATTATAGCAATTTAATTCAAGAGGACATTAATAACATTTACCTGATATTCTTTCTGCATAATATCCACTCTTACATTCAAGACAAATATGAACAAGTGCCCACCATTACACCTTTTCTCTTAAGCAAGTTGCACAATTTTCAATATATCCAGGACATTGTCCACTAAATTAAATGATTTTGGCTGACTCATCTTGATAATAATCTTGATTGATTAAACAATATTATAATGATGAACAGAGAACATTATCATTTTCATCAAAAAGCATACTTATCTTTTCACCACTGGGGGTTACATAGTATAATTCCCAAATCAAATAATTATAGATATCTTGATCAATAACTGTGTCACAAATATATTCAACATATGAAAAATAACATGTCACTTCTCTCATTGACAAACATATATAAGAATCAAGTATAACTCCATAACCATAATCACATCTCCCACAAGTAGTTATAATATTTTCCCAATCATCTCTAGGTGTAAAATAGAGATCAAGAGTATTAATTTAATAATTATAGTATAAAGCCTAAAATGCATAAGCACAATGTTTTATAGTATTTTCTAAGCAACTAATGCCATCAAATGATAGAAAATATTTTGAATCATCTAAACATTTGTAACATTTTAAATAATATTTATCTATAGTTTTATCATAGTGTTTTTAGCAAAAACTGCAGAAATTACCACAAGGAAGACAACTTCCATTATCTAATGCATAATGATCAATGCAAGACTAACATTATAGTGTATTTGATTCATAATTATAACTACAAGTCAAACAATTTGAAGGGCACTAATAGTATTGACCATCATGTAGATACATACCATCTTTCACTTATAGGCAATTACCATCTAAAGATGCCAGTAAGCAATTAATATTAGTTAATATACAATCTCTATTTGATTAATAGTAATTAGGTTTACATTTCACATTAATATTTTATCCTAAATGTTAATACTTAGCTTGAAAACAGTTGATAGGTTCTAATTCCAATTCACAAAAGTCTAAATAACCTGGATAAAGGGATAGCTCTCTATTTTGATCAATCAAATAAAAATCATAATCATATAGATCTCTTTATTTATATTTAAAAGCATCATTATCTGTTATTTTTTCTGATATTAAATCAAATTTGCAAATTGGTTTTAAATACCAAGTTAATGGATAATATATACAATCTACACATAATATGTTTTAAAAATTAGATTATGGACTGAATATATTTAATATATATACCATTTTATGCAATCATTTGAACCACGTTCATTTGGATATACGAAATATCCAAATTAACATGATGAAATTCCAAGAGGTAATCCTTCTTATTTTTATACTGATGAATAATGATATTCAAATGATTAACATACTTTCTCATCTGGAACGTCAATATATCCATGTAAACATTAACACCTCTTTTATTCATTTAAAAAGTATCTGTTAGAATCAGCTTCACAACTTATACAATTATTTTCAAGTGGTCCATCACATGTTAAACAAGAGTAATGACAAGCTATTAAAAAATAAATGTTTATTATACCATTAAAAAGTAATTATTTGTCATCAACATAATTGTATTCAAATTTAAAATCATAAAGGGATGCTTATAATAATTCATTAACAAATTCATCTGCTCCCAAATAAACATAATAAGGAGAATTGGTTGGCACAGAAAGATCACGAGAAATCTCCTATAAATTTAAATCATTAAAAAATTGCATTTAAAGCAAACTCTTTCTTCCAGGTATTGTAGAACCATATTCATATTTAACAAAATGCCATTACTGTAATCCTTAAAAATAAAGCTCTGAATAAATATCAAATAAAAGATCAGTTGATATAGTCAAAATATTAAAATCAACAAGTCCCATAATTGGTATTAAATGATGGTCTTAATATACAACAACTTATGTAAATCTAGGTATAAGCTTATAAAACCAGACCTGCATTAAAAATATTTCATCTCCTATGCTTTATCTGTCAAAATAATTTTTAAAAAGACTTATTCTAATCAATGGATATATAGAAAGTTGTATGACTCTTGATGCATCATATTTTACCCATCCTGATAAGCAGAACTTACTTCCAAATTAATTTATAGTATACTAGAGTGAAGTATCACCTTCAAAGATTTTCAATCCTTTGACAAAGTATGTTATTTGTTCTTCTTGCATTTGAGGAGGTATTTAACAATTATCATTCATATATGAAAATAAATCCTAACCTACATATTCAATCTTGCTAACAAACATTTTAGATAATCTTCCTTTAAAAATATTTAGATTAAGACCATTAATCTAATTTTATATAAATAATTATATATTACATTTCCACTTCCTCCTTGAAATATTTAAATATATTCTTATCCTATATTCATTGTCCCAATCTAACTGATATGATCACTCATTTCAACTATGATTTTTTTTTCAGAGAAATTAAATGTTATGAAGTTCAGAATCCATCTGCCTTCATAATTAAATGTTTAATACTCAAATTGTAGAACTTACATGTTACTTCCTAAAATCATTATTGTATTATAAACTAGCAAAGTATTGTAATCTATTCTCATATATCCTATCACTGAATTACTTGAACTTCCCTAAACTAAAAATAATAATTGTCCAAATTCAGGATCTGTTAGACTATATTCTTAGTCCACTGAAGGAATATTCTAAAAAGGTTATTATGGAATGCATAAACTCCAAAAACCAAAACCAAATGAATCCCCCACATCCAAAGTAACAAAAGAATCAAAATAGTTAAAATCAATTGGTGAGTCCACAGGAATCAAAGCTTATTCATATCCACTATAAGGGCAACATTAACATTTTGTAACAAGAATGACAATACATGATATCAAAACAAGAAGTTTATCAATGGTTTTCATTTTTAATATGAAATATCAAATTTTAAATATAATTTCAAGATATGTTAATATCAAATGTATAAATTTTATTATAGTACATCAAATAACAATAAGAAATAAGAAAGTTAAAACAACAAAAATAATTTCAAAGATGTATTAGATCTAACTTCATATCCAAAATATAAGAGGCAGATGAATATTTTAATCACTGAAATCATAAGAACATTAATACATTTTTTTTTTCTTTAGAATTGTAAAATAAAATTGATGATATCATCTTTAATCAAAAATTAAAAAATAGGATAATTATAATACTCAGAATCTATTAAAAAGACTTACTCCATTACATTTTTCTATATTATTAATTATTTATTAATTTTTTAGTAAAAACTAGAAAATTTTTGTTTTCATTTCATCCTTACGATTTAACAACAACAATCATTTTACCATAATTTATTTTGTGTAATTTTACAATATTATTCCATTCAATTAATTTTAAAATCATTAAAATTTATTACTCTCTAGGATTGTTTATTAAATTAGTTACTTTTAAACAGTAATCTAATAGTTATTTTTACTCATATAAATTATTTTTCTTTGTTTAATTTTTCTCAATGCACATCAATTAATACTTCTATATTAGTTACTCATAATAATTTTAGGAATCTCATACTCTATTTAAGTTAAATGAAAAAATTTATTTATTAAATCATTCTTCCAATAACAAGGATTAATTTATATTTTTATTTAAGGATGTAAAGTTTATGCTTATAATTTTCCACTCATTAATTTGGAGCATTAAAAGGATTGAATTCCATTTATTACATGATATTATCAATTTTAAACCTTATTTGGCTTTATTAATTATTCATTTAGAACGATAACAAATTATATTAGTATAAAATGTATGAATAAATAATTCATTTATCTTTATTAATTAATATTGTTTACTCTTCTATATTGAATATACTAAAAGAAAAAATTTTCTTAATTATTTATTAAATTTGAGTTATTGAAGAGCATTTAGGAATAATCATATTTTAACTATATTATATATAATAGTTACTAAAATATATTTTAGATTTTAAATTATAAAGAATAAACCAATGACCAATTACATTATTTTTTGTAAAATTTTACACTTTATTAAGATTGTAAGTATTAATATTCTTGAACAATTTTTTTGAATAAAATCCTAAATAATTCAAATAGAGCAATTTATTTTCAATCTTCATTCCTCTAAATTCTAAGTCGAAAATTTTTTGCATTTGTTTAATTCTAATGAAATTCCTTTATTGTAATTGTGTTGTTTATTTTAATGAGATGCCTTTACCCTAAGATAATTTGACCTTATCATTAGCTTATTTAATATCTCTATACTTGATTTGCAATTTTGAGAGATCTTAATTTCTATTTAGTTGTTAATGTGCTAAGATTTACTCTAGCTTAATTCTGTTCTCGAAACATCTTTAAGAGTTTATCTTTACAAGACATTAACTGAGGAAATGTTAAAGTAATCCTTAATAAAATTCTGAGGATTGCTCTGTTCATTTTATCTTATCCCTCTTAAAATAGAGAAGATGCTTCAAAACCACGATTATTTTATGATTAATAAAGCAATGACTACTCAATTATAATAGAGAAATAAATTAAAAAAAATTTAGGAATATAATGTTTTGATTATATTTTAAAAATTTTTGTGTGTTTACAACTCTAATGAATATTTATTTTGATAATAAATAAAGAATGTAACATATAGATATCATTGGATAAGTCACTTGTAATGAAGTTATTATTCCGATATCATCATTAATATTAAAAATCTATTTTTAACATGAATATATTTTAATTGCAAACATCTTATAAAAATAAACATGTAATTTTATCTTGTAATTTTTTTGATTAAATATCACTGAATAGAGAACACTTTGTAGCAATTAAAAGAATATATAATATAATTATAAGATTTAAAGGAGGAGTATAATTTTACATTTCTTGATTAAGATTATTAAATAATGAATAAAGCATTTAATTTATATTTTCTTAAGAAGGAATATAAAAAAGTTGATTATAAGAAATATATTAATTATATGAATATCCATTCTATTGATAAAGTATAATTTATAATTCCTTTTTAAAATTTATATCAATTTTAAGAGAGATTTACATTTTAATTATGAATAAGTCATATAAACATAAAATATTCATTTTACATTAAGATTTGAGGTATCATTTCTAGTATTTATATTAATTTATTAATATAAATATCATTTATAATAGTCTTCTTTTTATTTCCAATTATATTTAAATAAAATTGAGCCGAGTCTTAAGGAGCGGATTGTTACTCTCATCTTTGGAATTATAAATGCAGGGTGGTTAATTTTCAAGGAGGATGATTGGTGGGCAATTTGTTGGTAGTTTTGAAAAGTTACATTATGATTACATTATCCTTAAGGGAAAAAATGAAATTTATTTCTTGGAACTAATAGAAGTTTAAATTTTTTATAGGCGATCTGTAGTTTATTCATTAAAACATGATCTTTTGAATGGACACTAAACAAGCAACTTAGATTTTATAATTTTTGAGTATAAATTGTATAAATTTAAGTAAAACGATGGTAGGAACAACATAAAGATTTCTTTATTAAGCAATTTAGATAAAAACTCTTATAAGGTAATAATTTATTATAATATTGAATTGCTGAGTTTTAGGGATTTGAGGGTTGAAATCTAAAATCCTAGTAAGGATTTTTATAGCAATTTTGATTATTAAGGTTAAAGTTTAGTATTAATTAACCTCTTTTTTCAAAAGATGCTCTATTTTTATTCAAATCCATTTGAAAGTTGTTTGCCTAATTATAGCATATTTATAAAAATTACCAAAGCTTTCATATGATACAACAAATATGCATCAACAAAATTTTAATAAGTTATAAAAATAAATTAATTTATAAAAGGAACTTTCCTTTATTATTGCCAAGGTGCAAACAGTAATAGCTAAAGTTATCTTAATCTTAAAATACATTATAATTGATGAAATAGCTTATTGATTAGCTGATTTTCTGGAATTGGNTAAATAAAGAATGTAACATATAGATATCATTGGATAAGTCACTTGTAATGAAGTTATTATTCCGATATCATCATTAATATTAAAAATCTATTTTTAACATGAATATATTTTAATTGCAAACATCTTATAAAAATAAACATGTAATTTTATCTTGTAATTTTTTTGATTAAATATCACTGAATAGAGAACACTTTGTAGCAATTAAAAGAATATATAATATAATTATAAGATTTAAAGGAGGAGTATAATTTTACATTTCTTGATTAAGATTATTAAATAATGAATAAAGCATTTAATTTATATTTTCTTAAGAAGGAATATAAAAAAGTTGATTATAAGAAATATATTAATTATATGAATATCCATTCTATTGATAAAGTATAATTTATAATTCCTTTTTAAAATTTATATCAATTTTAAGAGAGATTTACATTTTAATTATGAATAAGTCATATAAACATAAAATATTCATTTTACATTAAGATTTGAGGTATCATTTCTAGTATTTATATTAATTTATTAATATAAATATCATTTATAATAGTCTTCTTTTTATTTCCAATTATATTTAAATAAAATTGAGCCGAGTCTTAAGGAGCGGATTGTTACTCTCATCTTTGGAATTATAAATGCAGGGTGGTTAATTTTCAAGGAGGATGATTGGTGGGCAATTTGTTGGTAGTTTTGAAAAGTTACATTATGATTACATTATCCTTAAGGGAAAAAATGAAATTTATTTCTTGGAACTAATAGAAGTTTAAATTTTTTATAGGCGATCTGTAGTTTATTCATTAAAACATGATCTTTTGAATGGACACTAAACAAGCAACTTAGATTTTATAATTTTTGAGTATAAATTGTATAAATTTAAGTAAAACGATGGTAGGAACAACATAAAGATTTCTTTATTAAGCAATTTAGATAAAAACTCTTATAAGGTAATAATTTATTATAATATTGAATTGCTGAGTTTTAGGGATTTGAGGGTTGAAATCTAAAATCCTAGTAAGGATTTTTATAGCAATTTTGATTATTAAGGTTAAAGTTTAGTATTAATTAACCTCTTTTTTCAAAAGATGCTCTATTTTTATTCAAATCCATTTGAAAGTTGTTTGCCTAATTATAGCATATTTATAAAAATTACCAAAGCTTTCATATGATACAACAAATATGCATCAACAAAATTTTAATAAGTTATAAAAATAAATTAATTTATAAAAGGAACTTTCCTTTATTATTGCCAAGGTGCAAACAGTAATAGCTAAAGTTATCTTAATCTTAAAATACATTATAATTGATGAAATAGCTTATTGATTAGCTGATTTTCTGGAATTGGGCAGGTAGGTTAAAATAAAATTTCAGCTATCAAAGAATTTATAGATTTTATATTTATTAATGCAAATTTTTCTAAAATAATCATCTAAATTTTAAGTATTTTATTATTAATTAGTATGCAATAATTTTGAATTAGTAGTTCTATATACTCTAAACTAATTCTCCAAAGATATAAATATAAAATCTTTAAATTTCTTTTAACAATAAAATTATAGTAAGAAAGAATTAATCTTTGGCAAGTAGCTTAATTACTAGATTTTATTAAGCAAAGAAATATTATAAGAAAATAAATGAACTTATTAGTATAATTCAAACACCTTCTCAAAATCTAATATATATTTTCTCAAGATTTTCTTTTTAAATTTTAAGCTATTTATAAACGCAATTTGGGAACTTATAAATATAATTTGGGTCTTTTTCAGTCTCTATTGTTAAACATCACTTCTATGATTACGAATTCACTTTTTGAGTCAATTGAAGATTCTATTAAGGGATAAATTAGTTGACCTTTTCGACATGCATATCTTAACTTTTAAAGGAGCCATCCATCTAAATCCTTCCTCCTTTGACATTGATCAAATAGTTATATTGTCTATCTCT